GAGAATGGTGCTTTATTGTTGATTAATAATTTTTTTTTCTTTTAGTCGTTTGGCAGTGACACTGTTCAACATGAAAAATCACTAATGCTGGAAAGTCCCCATTCACCACTGTGTAACATAGATTTGAATGTTAGTTCCCTTGTTTTTTTCTTTAATTTTTGTTCTTTCCGGAAACACTTTAGAACTCGATGTTCGTTGCAGCACGTATGTTCATTTTCCATTACGTGATGAGGTTTTTGCGTCAAGCAGGATGTTATCAACTTTGAGGAGTATGTGAAACGTTTAACAGACAAGGAGCAGCAGCAGTTGCTGCAGTATCTACCTCCACTCGACTTTGCCGAATTTCCGGATAGGTAACTTTTTTACTTTTCCATCAAGACGGGGAAAATAAATCATCTTAGTTCATGTTTTGTACATAATGTAATACATTCACCGATTATATAACGGCAAATGATGGAAACATGATGTGTAATAACTGATAGTTGTCCTTGCAACTGCAGTCTCGAAAACATGTTTGAAAGCCCTCAATTCAAGAACAACTTGTGTTACTTCCAGAAACTTCTAGAGGAAGGGGTCTTTAATGTCTCCCTCCCAGGAGTGAAATCTGAAGACTGTAAGATTTTGAAAAGACTCGTACTATTATTCAATTTGACGAAATCCAATTCGGTGGAAGGTCGTCATGTACTTAAGGTTTGAATCGGTTTCTTAAATAGAATATCATGACATGAACTTAGTTTGCTCACTGGATGCCCAAGTATTTTTAGCATTTTTTTGGCTGCAGAAATGTAAAATTAGTATTGGAGAGTCTGCAATTGCTAGAGGACCAAATGCCATCGCATCGAATAATTTGGTGACGACAATGAAGAGATCCCGTGACAGCCAATGCCAAAATTTCCCAGGTTTGAATATTTCTCTGCTGTTATTTCTCCATATGAAACAAATCTCGTTGAACTGTTTCGAAGAAGCAACGTTAATAACATGAAGCCATAAGAAGAAAAGGTTGAGAGTTAATCATACGAGTTACATTGGCATCTTGCTCAAGAATATTATGCTTTCTCTTTTTTCAGAAGAAAGGACTTTAAAGGTCCCCAGAAGGACGATGAAGAAGGTTACTCATGAAAACAAAGAAGACAATGATTCTTTCATTAGTCCAAGGAGCCGATTCGCCTTGCCGCATGATGGTAGCACCACGCTTGATTCTAGCGATGGAAGTTCTGAACAATGTTTGCTGCTGGATGTGCCATCCAATGGCTCATTCCCACTGGCACCATGACTCGTAAGTTTCGGGCAACCGGCAAACACACACCCCACATCTTGTCCATCCCTAGACGTGATTATTCATTACTATAACTATACAAGGGTTTCCTTCAGCAAGATCCCCAGAGTGGTGTAAACATGTTTTGCACACCGAATACCGCAATCCTTCGGTGAATGAGCTTCGTGATTTCTCTTTTGCTTTGACCTGTTCAAACTTGGAATGTTGAGGGATGAATTTTGGTGGTTGTAGAGGTTTACAACATTATTGTAATATACAGAAGCTCAAGAAGTGCAGAAATGGTGGGTCATTTCTAGGGTATGTATATGCAAATGTAGTTTTGTCTACTTGGAAACATGAACTTTATATATACCCTTTTGGTCTGGTTTTGCTGAGTGATTAAGAAATAGAATAAAAGAGAGTGAAAAAACGCATGCAAATGAGTCATTATTGCTCCAGCTTTTATTTTAGGAATAAAGTAACATTTAGTCCTTAAATTTGGTAATTTTTTCTAATTTGGTCTCTAAATCTTTTTATCCGCATTAGTCCCTAAACTTGACAATGTGACACAATCACATGATGTCAGGTCGTTAAAATTGATCACAAATTCAAGTTCAAGAAAAGTTGTCAAGTTTAAAGATTAGGACATTAAAAAGTTGTCAAGTTTAAAGATTAGGACATTTAAAAATGTCTTAAAATGAACACCAATATATGATGTTACAGATAGAATGTACAATGCTATCATTTTTAAACTCTAGATTTTAAAAAAATTGACGTGAAATTAATATTTCTACCTTTCAAAGACGTGACATTCTCTTTCACTTAATCTTATGATACTTTCGTCACATGTCATTGTCACAATTATTCACTTTGACTGTTCCACCTATTAGGACGTTCAACGTAAAATTGAATAAGGAACGATTTCCCGACAGTGGTGTTCGCTAGCTTATCCTCTAGCTTTCACGTCTCCCCAGCGAACAAAATTGATTTCATATTTGTTGGATTTTTCCCTTCGCCTATGCATAACCGACAACGTTTGGCTTCATGTATTGTCTCACATTCGTTTAGTTGCTATACTTTGCGAGATATTCAGTCCGATTTCTGCTTGAGTTGGATTGTGTTCCACAGATTAGTTTCATTCATCTGGTTTTTATGTTTGATTTCAAGTCCCCACTATTTGTGTTTGAATTAAAATTTTATAATATTAATAAAATCTATGAGAAAATTATATGATTTTGATTTTTGTTGGAAAGGGAATAATATTATTAAAATGAAAATAATATAAGAAAAATATTATTATAGACCTCGTTAAAAAAAACCTCCCTAAACCTAATTGAAGAAAAAAGAGTTCGAAGAAACATATCCAAAGCCTCAACAGGCTGCATCAAGATCTAAATATAACTACCCAAACTGCAACATGCTAAAACGATTGAAAGCAGACAGCAACATAGAGTGCAAACAGAATGTAATCCCCACTGCACTGCACCAGACAACATCAATCTCCTCTTAATATTAAACCTCCACCTGGGCAGAAACTGAACCAGCTGCCTGTTTAGCCAAAAAATCAGCCATCAAATTGCACCTTCTTGGGATAAACTTAACAACTATATTTTCTTGTATTAACAGAACCACATTAGGATGTCATTAAATTATAAAATATTTAAATTTAACTATTAATTTTCTAAAATTATTTTATTTATCATCGGACCGCTAAATCATTAATGACTTGATAATATAATCGTTATCTTTCTCATTTTATGTAGAAAAAACCAATTCTTCTAATTATCATCGTCAATCAATAGTTGTCATTCACATTGATAGGGGATGGCAGCAGAGTGATGAATGTTGCTCGAAGTCAAAGAATCAAGTTTAGGGATCTAGACTTAATCAAAGAATAGGATTGGATGTAATTAGGGTTTCCTCGGGCAAACTAAGATTTCTTGAGTGGGGAGATTGCTAGAAGTCAAACAAGAAGATTATGATTAGAAAAATAATATAATAACGATGATAAATAGGTAAAATAATTACGAAAAGATAATTAAAAATATGAAAGAACTCGAATTGAAAGTTTCTCCTGGTATGTGAAGATGGCTATGGTTATGTAGTTGTCGTGAGACGATGATGGTGATGATGAAGATGGATTGATAGTTGTCCTACGAACCCTCCTAGCCATAACTGACTGGGAAAACTCGATAATCGACTCTAAACAACCCTCCTAATCGAAATAAGAATGCAAACTGGAGTGTGAAGATCGCTCTCACGAAGAACTTGAAAGAACTTAATGATGAATAATGCTTCGAAGGCATAAGACAATCAACACTTGCAAAAACGAACTCTCGTTGTATTATTAATAAAAGAAATCTGATTTACAAAGTTAAATGAAACCTCTCTTATATTATATATGAGAGAAGTTCTAAAAGTCTTAAATAACTAATGAATAAAATAATAATAAACTAAACATGTTTTAATTCTAATTTCTAATAAAATAATATTAAACTAATAATAATGTTTTAACTCGATCTAGATTCCTAATAAAATAATAAATCTAATTTTAAAAGATAATGCATCATCCTATATTATCAATAAAAATATTGATAATTCGTAATATTTACAAAATCCCGTATAAGACTTTTTGCATGTGTTATCTTCACTAAAATGGATGTATCTTTAGTTTCTGACATCGGATTGATGTGATTCAAAAAGACGATCGTATCTCCAAAAGACATGTTGACCAAATAACACATGAACCTCATTCAAAAAGACGTCACAAGTAGGGGTGTATTCGGTTCGGTTTGGTTTTTTACCAAAAATTGAACCGAACCGAAATAAACGGTTTTTCAAAATTTAAACCGAAACCGAATGGTTAAAAAACCGAAACCGATTTTTTCGGTTCGGTTCGGTTTTTTTAACGGTTCAGTTTTTTCGGTTCGGTTCGGTTTATCGATTTTTCAATGAAAAAATCACTTGAAACTATAAATTTTTTAAAAAAAATTGTCTATTCGGTTCAATATGGAACAAATGGGTTTCATATGGAAAACCCGAACCGAACCGAATCAATAGAATTGAGACTTTAAACCAACCCAAAAACTGAACCGTATAAGGTCGAACCGAACCGAACTGAACCGTTTTACTCGATTCGTGTCGGTTTTTCGATTTTCTCGATTTCGTTGCTCAGCCCTAGTCACAAGTCTAGTGTTGTTCTAAGCTTCTTTTACAAGGTTTGGATGTGTAGATCAATTGGAAGATCTAGTCCATCTTCCTTTGATATGAGCCTTGTGGTGCATGTATCACACATCAAGATTGTATCAAAATATTCACATTTTACTATTTTTTTTCTCTTCTCCTATTCAAATTGATTTTCTATGAAATCCACTCAAAATCGACAAAATTTCATCTAAAGATTCTATTTTTTATATTCTAATCCCCTTTGCCGATCATCTTATGATGCTAGTTTAGAAATATATTGTTTGTCTTCTCGAAAAAATGTTTTTCGCCATTTGAATCTTCAAATGAACATCTCAAACCCCTCAATTTTAAGAGAGCTCTCAAACTTTAAAAATAATAAATTTTTAAATTTAATTTCATGAGTTGTAATTATTTTTTTAAAACAAATCGATAAATAATAAAGTATGATGAGACACATGTGCCGATCTGTTGAATTGCTATAAAAGATGTCAAAGAACTACAATTTTTGCCGGCGGTTAAAAGCAGAGAAAAAATATTCCTTTAAATGAGAACAATGAAATGACATGAGAACTTAATGTTACTGCTTTTAACAAAAAAGAAAATGGAGTATATTTAAAATACACACATATATATATATACACACACAGGCGCGTACGTTTACATACCAGTTTCACTCTGATTTAACATTTGAATTTAGATCTCCCAGCCTCTTCTTGATTCTTTGCAGAATCAAAGGAACAGGCTTTTCCAGGACAGACACATTAATGTTGTTCCACACATCTGATTTGGTCGGGAATTGTACGATTTTCTCCGCAATCTCCATGTCTTCAGCAAGAACAGAACCGAATACGGTGTATGAATTTTTCCATTCTCCGTGGTTCGCTAGGCTTATAAAGAACTCCGGACCAGATCCGATCCAGGCAACTGATCCCCTTCTTATGGTAGGGCAAGCCTCAGTTGGCATATTTTTGAATGGGGTTCCTTGGGCTTCAAGAATCCCTTGAATCAGTGCAAATGGTGGACCGTAAGAAGCCTGCAAATTCCGTATTGCAAATATAAAATCATCGATAGCTAGAAGCATGTGGTACGGTCAATTGATATGATAACGAATACATGCAAATAGCATGGCAGTGATGGATTTTGAGACACTTGTATAACGATTCACGATCTTAATCTCTATAAAATATAAGAGGTTGAAGATTACAGTTACTCAGACTCGAGTACAAGTGTGGTATATGTTATTAGACATTCATACCCTATCTCAGGATATGTGTTAAACACAAGTATTTCAAGAAAAATGAAGAGCCGGAAACATAGTTGAAGGTCTGTCTGCATCTCTTTATTCTGGGTTCAAGATCGAGCTTGGTGAGCTAATGAATCTATCATAAAGCTCAATGTAGAAAGTTGCTGGCTCCAAGTTTACAAGTCAAAAACCAAAAGAAAAGAAACAGGTAGATGCTCCTTAAATTTCCTTACATCTTTTATGTGATTTCCTTCTGAATCCCAATATTGTCCTCGGCCTTCTGCACGATAAAATTGGCAACCCACACAATGGCGCAATGTTAACAACTCGAGAATGTAGGCCACAGAATACGGAGCACAGTCTGGGAAAAGCTGCATCAAACAAATAATAATCGGTCACAACATTGTTTCAAGCTCTTACAAATTCAGTGGCTTCAAAACGGATCGTCTTCACCGTACATTCAACATGGCAACCAAAAAAAATTGAAGAAACAAGACTAAACGAATTCTAGACGGCACATGCTGATCAGATTAACCGGTACTAATCCTACTATCAGAAATATTTATCTTTTATCTACGTTTCTTCCCACTGTAATTTGCGAAAAGGGCTAAAAAGGATGAAACAATATAAACGATAATAGCTTCGGAATGAGCGGTAACTAAAAATCAGACACTCTATGACACTGATGCTCACAATCCTCAATAATAAAAAGGAGAGGAAGCTTAGTGTTCCATAAACGGAAGTACTCACCTTTATATGAAGAGTACCATATTCAGTTTCCATCCCAACAATGCCCTGAATGGAGAAGATGCAACGATGATCATCGATGCCGAAGAAGTGTTATTTACATGATAGATAGATGAAATTTCTACAATAAAAAAAGTTTAAAGAAGAATTGTCCTCGTGAAAATAATAATAATAATAATAATAATAAGAGTACTAATCAGATTATGCAGCTAGTAACGTTAATCATTGAACTTATGTTGTCACCTCTCCTTTCCCGAAGATGAGCCCAGAAGTCCAAATAACGCTCTTCCCTGCGTCCTGCCGATCAGGGGACAAGGTATCCTTCTGTTTCTTCAACCAACACTGGTGAAACAAAACGATAAATATATAAAGACTATAGCTCTTGTGATTTAAAACTCGAATTACCTAATGCACCGACCTTTTCCACCATCGAATTAAGACATGATACAAGATGAAAAAGGATGCAAATAGTTAAGTAAAGTGCACATAGAAGTGTGAGATTCAATAGCAATATAACATCAGAAGTATATTTGTTTTTTTTATCACTCCAGCTAACTTCTTCAGAAATGAACTATACAAGCCAAGATCAGCGTGTGTGTGTGTGTGTGTGTGTGTGTATATATATATATTGAATTTAGCATTGTCAAATTTCTATTCTCAATCAGCTAATGCATTCAACAGATGAAATCAAAACAAGCACTATCAGAAACATAAACATGAAACAATTAAGAAAAGAGGATAAACACAGCCGCAATTTAAATCTAGCAATACAACAAAACCTTCAGAAGAATTAAAGAAGGAAAATTGACCTCCCCAAATCTGGACCCACAGGCATCCTTGTTCCCACAGAAGACCCAAGTATCACACAAGCAAGGTCCATCATTGTCACTACACATAGTCTTGCAAGCCTGGCAACATTCCACAGAGGAATTGAACTTGAACTCAGACCCCCACTTCACAGCCGGACCCCATAGCTCCAAATTGTCGATGCCTCGACAACACTCATCCTTCTTCTTTTCCCCCAAATCATCATTCGCCATAATTTCCGAAGGCTCAAAGATGGAACCTACATTGGGGGTCAAGAGTGTTGAAACAACTGCATAGACCAAAACACAGGAGAACAGAGCCACCGAGAGCTGGACGAGAGAGGCGAAACGGGAGTGTTCTGGGTCGTTTAGCCGACGACCCATTGGAGATTGAGGGAAGAAGATGAAACCCCAGAAAGGAATTTGGAAAGTTTGGATGGTTGTGGAATGAGACAGAGATTTGGATTTGGGGAGAAGGCGGTTGTTAGTGAAAAACAGGGGAGAATCTGAGGAGAAGTACTCATCAAGGATTGAATATTAATTTATTATTTATTCATCAACTACTACCAGTCCAAACATTTTTTTCAGTCTTTTTCTTTTGTTGAGCTTACAAGTCAAAATCTACTATCAATGGTCAAATTATGGTGTTGGACCCCTCCATTATACTTAAATTTGATCCCAATACTTTAATTTTGTGTAAATGTACATTTTAGTGCCTGGATTTGGTCCAAGGTTAAATTTAGTACCTATACTTTTTTCTCAATTAGGTACTTGAACTTAACCTAAAGTTTTTTTAAACTCAAACGTGATTTGAAATTTTTTTTAGTCGAGTTTTTGAGTTTTTTTTAAAATTTAATTATAAATATTTATAATATTATGATACTATTTGATTTCAATTTAAATGGTTGTTTATAAGCATATATGATACATATATATTTCTTCATATTTGTTTCATATGTGATATACATATATCATACAAAATTAAGGATTTAACTCAAACTTGAAAATAAATTCACCAATTACTAAAAGTTTCAAGTTAGTCGAGTTATATTTTATAACTCGATTTGAACTTAAAATTTCTTCGAATCAAGTTTATAAAATTATAACTCGAAGTCAAATCAAATAGAATCGAAAAAATTGATTTTTCGCGTTGAGTGAATTTCTCCACCCCTAGAAATTACCACCCAATTTGGACAACGCTTTAGGAATGTTTGAAGAAGTAACCGAAATTACAAATAGTTATCACCGCTAGTCCTAAGTTAAAGAGTTGGATCAAATTTAAACTTAGGTTTGTGTTGGTTTAGATTTGATTCGGACTCAAGTTTAGATTTTAGGTTGGATGCTAATATATAGAAAATCTTACTTAAAAAATATTATTTAAATAATTAACGGTGGGATGACGAAGATAACTATTTACAATTTTAGGTATCAAAGTGCTAAAAGAATTCCTTTGGGTACCAAATGAGAAAAAAACAACTTTGAGCACCAGATACGCATTTCACCCATCTTAATAAAGCACTTGCTATTTTAAAAACGGCGCGAACACAAAAACGTAATTCACTTCGGTTTCATCCAAAAATTCTGGCATTCAACAAACGAAAAGAAATTTTTTTTAAAAAAAAAGAAAGATTAATAACAATAACAACAGCGTAAAAATGGGATCTTTAACTGTCGGATTAAGCCGTCGAAGTTGTTTTTTATTCCGATAAAGCCCTTATCTTCCTTTATATGAGCCTTTAGCCTGTATCGATCCCTCTTGCTCTTGTTTCCGTCGATCTTTTTAAAATGACATAGGAATTTGAAGCTCTCTCAGCAGCTTCGTTCCTCTGTCATTTAAAAGCGACGCCTTTTTTCTTCAGGCCAAACAAATTCTCGGTTGGTAAGCTTATGAAATCCCTGTGTTTTTATTTGTTTTCTTTTTGGTTGTTTGTAAAGATTGGTAATTTGGGTGTTTTTCTTCTTCTTTAATTGATTGATTAATTCTAATGTTGTTAACTTGGATCTGGGTTTGGGGTTTGGTTGATTAATTCAAGTTGCATTTGAAATTTTCTTGTGATTTATGATTTATGACTGAATTGTGATTATTTCCTTGTAATTTTTCTTGTGGAATTCTAGGATAGTATCGTCTTCTTGTTGTTGTTGAAACATTTCATTTTAGACTGCGAGAACTGTGATTTAGCTTGAATCCTTGTTTTCCCACTTCGTTCCTAGCACTAGCTTTGTTTTGATTTCAATTTTGATATTTTTTTGCTCCCCAGTAAATGGGTTGCTCTCAGTCTAAGGTGAAGAAAATCCGAAGCACCAAACGGGAAAACCCGGTAACACTCGCCGCAGAAACTGTTTGTAAGTTTTGCAAATTGTTACAAATGTTTGTTCATTGCATGTTCCACATTGTCTTTGTGCGAATGCAATTTGCTTTGGGGTTTCAAAAAGCATAGCCTATAAGCCAAATGAGTAGAAAAATTACTATATCGGATCGTTGCAATTGTCTCAGAATTGATTATTCGATCAATTTAACTATTTGGTTGTTTTTCCTTGTATATGCAGTTAGTGTTAGTGAAGTCGAAGCACTTTTTGAGCTATATAAGATCATCAGCAGTTCGTTGGTTGACGATGGGCTTATTAGCAAGGTATAAATTTTTCCGTGATGCCATGTCCACCGGTTCTTTCGGCTTTCCTTTAATGTGGTCCGGAATTAGGATTATCACATATCTACTCATGATATCATGTGTGAGCTCGAGATGTTTTGCATGGTTCTCATGACTTACTATTAGTTTGTCTTTGTTCCTTTTCAGTCGAATTTGAACTCTTATGTGCACAATTTAAATCCCAACTAATGTGTTCTGCTGTCTATGCAGGAAGAGTTTCAGTTAGCTCTGTTTCACAATAATAAGAAAAACATTTTTGCGGATCGGGTAATGTATTTCATAGCTTTATACTTTTTATGGCAAATTAAATATTACTTCGAGTTTTGTGTTGCTTTGCTTTGTCTAAATTTTGTTTGATGGGCATGCAATGTGCTGGCTACGGGCGATCGGGATGCATGATTATCTATAGAGTTGTTGAAGTTTGTCTTGAGGGCATGTTTATCACATTTATCTTGCTGAAATACTATCTATATAATTCAAAAGCTTAATGACGTTTCGTTATGATCAAAATGTTCGACTTTTGACATTTTCCAACTATCTTTAACATCGTCTTTTATGGTCTTTTCTTTCTTTTGAGCTCTTAAAGTTTGTGTCCAGCAGTTTACTCGGTATATCAGTTTCCTTCTATAAACCATTAATGCAATACCAATATGAGAGTTCGGAATTAGGTATTCTTGGGAACAAGTATCTGAATTAGTTTGCTCATGTAGCCTTCTAATACATGCAGATCTTTGATTTATTCGATGCTGATAAGAAGGGAGTCATTGATTTTTCGGACTTTGTTCGAGCACTCAATGTCTTCCACCCGAACACCACACGAGAGAAAAAAATGACTTGTAAGTAGACAGTCGAATTCAAACTATGTTACTCTTTCGTCCCTTTTTTCTAAGTCGGGTCGTTTTACATTGCAGTTGCATTTAAACTTTATGACGTTGACAGAACCGGTTTTATCGAACGTTACGAGGTACACTGGGCCTTATATTTTTGTTACTGGTGTATCGTGCTATTATATGTATCGTTCTCGTGATTTTGTCAGGTCAAGCAAATGCTGACTGCGCTTCTAAGTGACGGTGAAATGAAGCTATCTGATGAAGTCATCGAGGCAATTCTCGATAAGGTGAGAGCTTGCTGTTTTATGGCTGCCTACAACCAATTGTTTATGGTACCATTGGTGATTTTGTATGCTTACTCTGTGGTGTGACTCGGTGATTCTGAGCAGACTTTCATGGATGCCGACACTGATGGGGACGGAAAGATAGATATAAACGAATGGAAGACCTTTGTATACCGTAACCCGTCGTTGTTGAAAGTCATGACCCTCCCATACTTGACGTACGTAACACTGAGGCTATACCGAGCCTGCTTGCTTACTTAGAAACCCTTCTCATCCATTTTGTTACATGAACCATTATGCAGGGACATAACAACGGCATTTCCGAGCTTTGTTTTCAATACCGAAGTAGACGAGGTTTCGCCGTGGATGGAGAAAACGTGCTAGGGTTAGCATATTCGATTCATTGACCTGTTGATTCGTCGACGTTGAGCGTCTTTACGAGAAGAAAGAAATGCCTGGAATGTTTTTACAAGGGTAGCAGGTAAAAATATCACTGGTGCACAGGGTCAGCAAAATAATCCGGTCCTATATGATTCTTTGTTTTTAAAAAAAAAAATCGAGTTCAGATCAATACATATCGATTTACGACCGATTTACAACACGGTTGAATAATTTACTCCACCTTTTGGCCTGTATAATTCCTAACAACAGATGGATGTGGTCCACAACAATCTCCAAATCAATGTGCTTTGAACACTTATTTAATCAAAATAATTTAATTATTAAGCTCTTAATTTTAAAGAAATTAATTTGAGGATTAAAATAGAAATAACAAAATTTTCAGAATTAAAATAATTAATATAACTAGAGATAAAAGATTGTCTTATTTTTATTTAATGTAATGATTAAAGAAGTATAATAAATTTAATATTAGTAATTAAATAACTACATAATCAAGCAAAGGGAAAGGTGGTCGTGGATAAGAACCAAGCAAAAGGGCTATCCATTTCCTTTGTCGATTAATATCGAAGCTTCATCTCAATTTAATAATTTTAAATAATATTTATATTTTAATCTTTTGAAATATAATTTAATAATTCTTATTTATTTACATAATATATATATATATATATATATATATACGAATCATATAAAGAATCTCACTCTCTTAAGTTTATATAAACTTGATTAATTGGTAGATTAATTAATTTCTAACTATTTAATAGAATATGAGCATTTTTTATATAGGATCAACACATGATTGTAGCCTGTCTGACAAAGGACCATTAAGATAAGACTATAATTAATATCACTTTACGTATGCACTTAAATAAATTAATAAATAATGCAACAAATACTAACCGTTGGATGCTGTGATTCAGCATCATATTTGAAAAATAAATAATTTCGACAATATTATCGTTCAAATAAAAAAAAAATTGACGAAAACCAGTCAATTGAAGTTTAATAAATAAATAAATAAAGTGGTCCCACTTTATGTGCAATGTGTTGGACGGCACGTGATAGGCCATTTAAAGGTTACTTTGTGGAAACTACTCTATCCTCCTATCTTGTTTTCTGACAATAATAATAATAATTAAAATATAGAAAATTCTTTTTTAAGGAAGAAAGTTTGGATAAAAATATTAAAATTCGTTTTATATTTTAAAAAATTAAAAATTGTATAAATAAAGTGAAAAAATTATAATTATCGATAATATGTTCGACTGCATTCCATTAAATAATAAACACTTGTTAATTATTTGGATGAAAATATACTCTAGCCAAAAAAAACACTTAAATATCTTTTTTACTTGTATTATTGTTTGTCATATTGATTTTTGGTAATTCACATACGGTAATATAATAACTGAAAATTTTATGAATTTAATTAAGATATAAATTTATATTTTTTATGTATTTACTTTTTAAAAATATTAATAATAAATTTATTACTATAATATAATTCTAAAAAAATATAAAAAAAAGTTAGTTTAGATTTGTAGAATTTAAAATATTTTTTTTATAAATGATCATTAAATTTATACTTAAAAAGTCGAAAATGAGAGACTTGAAATTTTTAAAATTCAATAATTATCGATGATTGTGGCTAATGACAATTGATGATGATGGTGAACAATAAGAGATAAATCAAATTCAAAATTCAAAAATAATATTTTAATTAAAATTTAAGATTTAAATTGATATTTTTTAACATTCAAAATCTAAATTAAAAATAAGCCTCTTTTGTTAACATGTCATGACATCAAACTAATAAGATTAATAGCTTAATGACCAAAAATGAAACAAATTGATATCATAAATAATCAAAATATAATTTTCTTGAAATTAAAATATCTCTTTAGTGTAAATTTGATGAGATAATATGGTGGTAAAAGAATTTACCACATTATATTTTTGGGAAGACACTTAAAAGTTATGTTTTTTTTTTAATTACATGTAGTGTGAATGTTAATTTTAATAGCTTACCAACTCAGAAAACACTACATCTTCTCGACATCTTCCTAAAGATGTTAAATGGTCTGAATATTTTCTCTCGTATATTATTCATTTCACTTTATAAAAATTTTCTTAATGATTAATAGCATCACCGTTGCGAACACTTTGATTAGTTGTTAAATAAAAACAATTCAATATTATCATATTCTTTTATAAGAAAAGAGGAAAAGGAGACAGTGGCATTTAAGAAAATATAAGAGAAGTCAGGGTGTAGCCAATCGCCCTATCAACCCACAGATATATTTGTTGCTTCGGCTTTTTCAAGCTTTCGTTGAATAAGGAGAAAAACAAAAACAAAGTTTACAGAGAGAATTTCAGACAAAAACAAGAAGAGGATTTAGTTGTTCTCAATTTAAATGCATCAAAAGAAATCCGGGAAGCATCAGAAGATCGGAAAAGTAAGTAGCGATAGCATCTCTTCGATTCCGACCAAACAACCACTACTTCCTTTGATCATCATCGATTCAATTGAAACGAGCCTCATCTCACCATCCAAATCCCCACGACAACCCATCATCATCACAAAACACCCAATGGCCCTTCTTTCTCCAACTCCAATACCCTTTTTTCAACACCCCCTATAATGACCCATAATCCCTTTTCTCGTCTCCCAACTCTGTCTTCTTTCAAGAACCGTCGCCAAAGGGTTAATCCTTTCGATGCTCAACAACTTGGCAGCAAACTTGTTCATCATCTCAGCCGTGGGCGTTTTCTTTGCTTCCACTTCCGTTTTCTTGTTTTCTTCTCTCTTCCTTCGTTATATTTCTTGGTTTCTTATCCACGGCGGTTTCTCGCGTTGAATCTTGTCGCTTTGCTTGCTTTTTTGTTCACCCTTTTGGTTTCTCTTAACCTTTCACTCCCTCGATTGCCTTCGATTCAATTACTTCTTGCCCGTTCTTTGCCGGCTAAGTTCAGTCAACTCAGTTCATCTTCTATATCTTCCAACACTGTTGTTTGGTCGATTGGGTCGAAGCTGAAATCCGAGAAGAAGGCGAATTCAGGGACTTGGGTGCAGGTTTACAGTAACGGGGATGTCTATGAAGGCGAGTTCCACAAGGGGAGTTGTTCAGGGAGTGGGGTATATTACTACTATATGAAAGGGAGGTATGAAGGGTATTGGATTGATGGGAAGTATGATGGTTATGGTGTGGAAACATGGGCAAAAGGGAGCCGATATCGAGGTCAATATCGGCAGGGATTAAAGCATGGAATTGGGGTTTACAGGTTTTATACCGGCGATGTTTATGCCGGGGAGTGGTCTAATGGGCAGTGCCATGGATGTGGAGTTCATAGTTGCGAGGATGGTAGCAAATATGTAGGGGAGTTCAAGTGGGGTCTCAAGCATGGGGTTGGCCAATACAATTTCAGGTGAATTCTTCATTGCGTTTAATAATCTTTGATCATACATGCTGGTATTTCTGATTTCATTGACTGATTAGTTTTGTAATTTTGAAAGCAGGAATGGGGACGTATATTGTGGGGAGTATTTTTCCGACAAGATGCATGGGTTTGGTGTTTATCAGTTTGGAAACGGGCACCGATACGAGGGAGCCTGGCATGAAGGAAGAAGGCAAGGATTCGGTACATACACTTTCAGAAATGGTGAGACACAATCCGGTCACTGGCAAAATGGTGCTCTGGATGTTCTTCATGCAGAAACAGAAAACACTCAGTCCAGAGTCCTTCATGCTGTCCAGGTATCGCTTGTATGTACAATATCATCATCAATTGATAAACCATATTTTACGCTCTTTGCATAAAAAACTGTGTTAGTAAACTTGGGGGTTTCAGGCGCCTTGTAGTAAAAGCTACTGTGTTTTTTCTAAGACAAAGAACCACTAAGAATTTTCTTTCAATTTGCTGTTCTATGTGTACAGGAAGCAAGAAGAGCTGCTGAGAAAGCTCGAGACATCACAAAGATCGATGAGAGAGTGAATAAAGCTGTGTCAGCAGCAAACAAAGCAGCCAACGCTGCCAGAGTGGTGGCTGTTAAAGCCGTGCAAAAACAGATGCATCATCACGAAATACCAACTGCAATTGCCTAGTACGGAGCCTTCAAAAATGGTGTTTTGGTGACTAATTTCTCACCATCTAGGCATTTTCTTCTGCTGTTCTCTTAATTTTTGAAATGAAAACTGCAAGGTTCCCACTTGGAACCATGTTTTCCATATAGGCTGCCCCCTTTTTCTTTCAATTGCATATGTATATAGGCTGCGTTTATCAGTGAATCCTATGATTTTCTACCATAGCTAAATACGCAGAGCGTTGCAGAACAATAAAGGAAGAGGGATTGATAAAGACCAACATAATTTGATGCAAAGTAACAAGACGATTAAGAAAAAAAGTATTCAAATATTTTAATAGAGATAAAGTTCCAACACCAGAGTTAACAGTCGATATATAAAATTGAGAATTAAGCACATAATACATTACTTTCAACAAAATGTTTCCCAATTTGTTTGTGGCCAAAACAAGCAAAAACATCATACCGAAGTTGATTACGCCGTCACTGTAAGCTCAGCTCTCAGTTTGCTCCCTCAACCTCCTAATAGTACTCCTCACCGTAACAGCACTGGCGGTGCTGTAAAATAACAAATGAAGTACCTTGTTATAAAATAACAAATGAAGTACCTTGTTAATTACATGGGCATACGAAGAAACGATACTGAAATTGAAATAGGGTACAGTGCAGATACTTCATAGTATAAGCACCACCAGCTTTAACTTTTCCGCAATCCTTGCATCCCCAGATTCCGACGGCCTTTCTCTTCACTGCATACTGTATAGTAGCAGAAGATTGTTAGAACAAAAAGATCAAATCATATAAACAAGCGCACCAATAGACAAACAAAGAAATGAACATAAGTTTAGCAGCTCAGAAACAGTATCATACAGATAACCAAATGTGCCATACCTTTCCACAGAACTCGCAGAAGTACTTGCTATGTTGACTCACCTCCATCTTCTTAATTTGCTTCCTCAAACTAGCACCATAACGGGTACCTTCATTAAGAAGGAAAACATAACAAGGAATCAGAAGAGGAACTTCAGTAATCAAAACACTAAAATTAAATTTTAATTTAGAATCGTTTAATGTATAAAGCTACAACGGTTAAAAACTTCAAGCAATTTAGATAAAAATTGGAAAGGTTACTATTCCCAACATTCAAATGGCTATCAAATACCAATCTTTCATACAATATCAAACCTTTCTGAGCAGAAATATCCTCTAAGAAAAACAAGACTTCATCAAATTAGGCAGCACATACCGTATTTTCCAACAATTCCAGCCTTCTTTGTTCTCTTTGTCTGCACGTCAACAAAATCACGGAGTTATTCACACCGCGAAACAACACAAACAAATCAATCAATCCTAATAGATACGTAATCGCTACGCTAGCATTTTAGCTATAGAACGGAATACTGTCTTAATACGATTCTCAGATCTCAATCTCATTTCCTTTTCTTTCTACGTTGCCATAACACAATTGATATTAAGCAATAGAACGGAATACTATCTTAATTCGAAGCTATAGAACGAAATAATATCTTATTTCAACATTGGTATTACACAATTAACAGGATTGTTTTAGGGATAAACATTTTCTCAGAAAACAAACACGTAAATAGATTATGCAAAAGAAATGTTCATCAATTCGAGAAAGAAGAAAATACCATGGGTGGGATTGTTGAGAGGATTTCTGTGTGTCTGGTTCGGAAAGGTGAGGAGCGGCTCTTCGAGAGGAAACAACAACAACGAGGAATTAGGGTTTTCTGGTTCGGGTTTTTGTAGAAACTTGAAACGACTGGGTCAAGTAAATCGGGTATTGATCTAAACTAACCTACAACAAATCATGGGCCGTGGACTATCCATACGCATATTTCGAAAAAAAAATTAATAAATTCGGGTTTGCCTCATTTTAACATAAATTGCTATTTAATAGTAATATTTTTATTTAACTAATTCAAAAATAAATTATTTTTAAAATCCTTTTATTCATAAATGAATAATAAATTGATCCTATAATAGTTCATTATCATCTTTATTTATCTAAGATAGAAGAGGACATCAAGGTTGGAGCTATAATAACTTTTGATGCTCTAAAAATCTGTTACTTAAATTCGGGTGTGAATATTGGATAAAGATATGTGTCGGATATTTGTTCAATTTCTCTAAAAAAATTTCATTTATTTGAAGATATCTTCGTATTTATGTACTTATGTTTGATATTAGTTCAGACATGAATATTTTTAAAATTATAAAAATGATTATTCTTTTCAAGTTCGATATCAATAATTAAACATAGATATATGAGAAATGTTACGTTGTCGGATTTTTTCTAAAAATTTGAGTTTTGTTCACACCACTCACAATTGCATATTACCTCCGGTTTTCTTTTTAAGTATTTGTTATGCATTCAAACATGAATGCATGTATAATCTACTACTAACCTATAATATAGGGTCTAATGACACTATTTTAATGGAATACTTTCCTAATCCAAATTATTCCCCTACAAACTTTGGATCTCACAAAGGAAAACCTAGGCCTAAACCTAATGATTCACAATAATAAATTTGGATTTAAGACGATGATGATACATAAAATTACGTTGTCAATATAATTTGGAACATGTCTAAATTACACGACGTCTCTAGAAAGAAATCGTTCGAACATTAAGCTAGTGTGTTTATTATCTCCTCAATACCAAACAGTACACTGATGTGGAGAGATGATGATGATGACAAAAGCCTTATACTTACAAAACAGCAATTGTTTCCCTAGTGGGAGCTAGTGTGTTAGCCGTGTGTTAGCCGCACCTACAAATCCCTGCCTTCTATCAATTCTTTTCCACCTAAAATTCCTACCTTTACTTCTCTCTGTACCTTATTAAAGAAACCTAGATCCTAAAGGCAATAACAATGAAAACTAAAAATCAACCCCAAAAAAAACACAGCTTTTCCAGAGAGTTCCATTCATGTTCTTCATTTCTCTTTCATCATTCATGGTAAATGAAACTGTTAAGAAGAAAATTAGTACAAAAATAGTCCCATAAGAACTTTTAATTCATTGGCACTAGTTAACATGGGGAGAACAAATACCAAATCTAATTATCCTACCAAAAGCACGCCAAAAAAAAGAGCCATATCACAGAGCAGATTTATATAACATTCACAGTTAAGTCTCAAATATGCTTTCTTGTTCCTGTTCTTCCTCTCCTTGGCCTTCCTCATTCCTGGATCTCCATGTCCTTTGTTCCCTTTTTTTTCAACAATTTATACAAAAGGGTAGATATATGTTTCTTTTCCCCTCTTTATTTCGTTTGTGAAACGATTATATTTATGCAGCTGCAACAGTGCCTGGTCGAAAAGGATAGTTCTTAGCTTTTGTTGGAGAAGTTGTGACTTTCCTTTGATCCTTCTTCCTCAAAGCTTTCATGGAGGAAGCAAGGCTATTGCTTTTCTCCTTAGCCTCATCAATGTCTATTTGCTCTTGTCTACAATCTTCACTGCAAAAAGGAGTATCCCCTCTGCAACAACAGCAAAAAACCCAATCAGAAACCAAATCAAAATACCAATTTTAAAACCCCCCCCAAATTAGAAAACAAATGAAAAAAACGAATATTTGTTTCCAACACTAACAAAAGATTCAACAGATCTCTTTAAACACTAACCTGTACATGAAGATATCTTTATTTCCCCCAAGAGGCTTCCTGCAAAGGAAACAGGAATCCAAGAAATGAGGTTGACGGATTTGATCCTCAAATCTTGGAGATGAGCATGAGGAAGATGATGATGATGATGATGATAGATTCCTCAAACTAGTTCTCCTTGAGTAACAAAGAGGTCTTTGAAAACACCCATTTTGAATCTGGGTTTGGTAATGGGTGCCCGAATATCCAGCCTCCATCACTGCAATAGAAGCCAAGCCTTGATCTTCTTCAATGAAACAACGCCTCCTTGAACGTCCAGAAGAGTCCATTTTTGAACTTTTTTTCTGGGGAAAAAAGGATTGATTGATTTTTAGGGTTCTTTGTTGGCAGGTGGAAGACGAGTGGGGTGAAGGAATGGTGGGTGGGTTGATTTTATAGTTGGGGAAAAGCTCAAAGCTTTGTTCTTTGTTGAGAGAAAATAATTAAATACTTAAATTAATAAATAAAAACAACTACAGGTTTTCAAGAATCCGTGCTAGTGAATCTATTGGCTCGAAATACCTGCATCCCTCAGGTCCCAAATTATTTACATTGACATTTTTGTCCTTCATTTAGACTCATTTTCATTTTTGAAAAAAATAGGTTTAATATAACAATAATTCACATTAAAATTATTATGATTAGTTAATATATTTAGTGATAGAATTGTTCATAAGTTAAAATTCAGGGTAGAGTGCACAAATGTTCATCGATTATAGGACATTGATTTATTGAATTCCCATACTATTAAAAGTTATAAAATGATCTTATGGTTATATGGTATTATTTTGTTGAGTCTTTCGACCATTAAAAGTTACAAATGATCATTCAACTATTCATATGTTTTAAACTTATCATTTTTCGTTAAAACATTAACGTCAGTCTAAGCTGAACGTTAACATGTTGACTAGGGTATGATAAAATATGATCATATAATCTCAAATGATTGCACAGTTGAAACGATTATGAGATTAAATTTTATCATATATTAGTCAACAAGTTAACGTTCAGTTCAGACGACAATCAAATTTTTAATAGAAAATGTCAAGTTCAAAACATATGAATACTCGAATGATCATTTTATAACTTTTAATAATCAGATGACTTAACATAGCAGTGCCCTATAATTAGGGATCATTTGTGTACTTTATCCTTAAATTTATTATAGTGGAATTTATTGAGTGATTTTAGCGGTGAGAAAGGGTGTTGTTCTTTCTAGAGGTATTTAATTCGAATAATTATATTTTTATGATATGTGTACTTTATCAACAATTAAAAAATATATAAACATATATTATCTTGTAATTACTTAAATTATTAAAAATAATTTATAAACAAATCTATCATCAATACATCAAAATAATTTTTAAATTAATACTTTTTATAGCATTGCTTAATTAATGTTGAATATATAAATTTCTAAAAATTTCAAAACAAACTACTAATGGTGCAAATAGTGTTTTTTATATTTATTTGAAACTATTGTATTGATTGTATTCTTAAATGGTGAAATATAGGAGAGGAAATGGCAATTTCGTGATTCGGGAAAGAAGTGGGGGCGAAAAAGAAGGAAAGGGCAAGTCTTGTCGTATTCGGGGACTAATAATAATAAATCATTAAAAAAACCGCAAAAGTCCCATAAATTCCGGTGTCCATATTCTAATGTTAATAAATGAGGTGAAGCCCCACGCTCGTGCATTAGCGCGTTAACATAAAATGAACCCACCGTACATTTTGGTGGGTCTCTCCAAAGACCAGTACTAATAGTAATAGTAGGGGTGTGCAAATCGGGTACCCGATTTTCAGGTACTAGGAATTTTCGAGTCGATAATTTTTCGGTTCGTGTCCTAATTCAGATGTTATGAGTACTCGATAATCGGATATCCGAATTTTACGGGTATCCGATAATCGGGTATCCGATACCCGGTTTTTAATTTTTTATTTTCAAATTATTAATTTAAAAAAAATATACACAAATTTAAATGTTCGAAATTTCGAAATACATACTCTAATATCGGAACATAAAATTTAAAAGTTCAAAATACAAAATATAATAATTCATAATATAAATAATTCATTATATTTTATATAATTATATATAAAAAAATAAAAACTAACCGGGTACTTGAGTACCCGGAAAAACTAGATTTTGTGACCCGGGTTCGACCCGGGAAATGTCAGGCCGGGTACCCGACCCGGTCGGATAATTTTTTTTTTAGAGAATTATCCGGTTTTTTAGATCCGGGTCGGCGGGTCGACAGGTCGGGTCAACCAGGTCGGGTAATTTTGCACACCCCTAACTAGTAGTTGTACTAAATACGAGCAACTACCATTTTCTTCAATTTTTAATTATAATTACATGTAAATATAATTTTTTAGTGTATAAATTTAATTTTAATGCATAATTTAATACCTAAATTTTATTCTATATATTATAAAACCTCAAATGAGATAGTTTTAATAAAATTTAATATATTAAAATTACATTATGTTCCGTTTATGATGTACGGGAAAATTATTTTATGTTAAAAATATATTTATAAAAATTTGATTTAAATTATTATTAATTTTATATTTTTAAAATATTTTATTTGAAAATTATATTAAAGTATGAGAATTTTTTAATTGTTTTTTATAAAATTTATGTAGTTACAATAGTTATATATTTATATGTATTAAAATTAATAGAAAGTAAATAATATCATTATAGTGAATCAAACGTTACATGTACTACAAAATAATAGTTTTTTTTTGTATTAAACTTCTAATGATTTCTTAATTGGAGCAAGAGAATATTTATTTTATTTTTTGTGTTTTTAAATTTTATTATAATATCTTCATTTAATCTTTTATATATTTTTATAAAATATGATATTAGTGTCAGAAATCAAATCGTACCAAAAACATTAAAAACATTACATAAGAATTAAACTTAGATTATAATAATAAAATAAATTAAAATATTTTATTAATATTGTTAATTCACACTAATTTACATTTTCCTCGTAATAAATTTAGTAATTTATTGGAATTATAATAATAAAATGTATTAATTTTACATATCTTAGTTATAGTTTTTTAAACATTTAGAAGACTTTATAATATTTTAACTATATATATTGATTAAATATTTTAGTTATAAGATTGTGATGTATTTTATTTAAGTATGATGTCAAAATTAGCTTCAAATGTTTATTAAAATGGATATTGTGACTCTTATTTTTTTTTTTGAGCATTTTGACCTCCAATATTTTATTTTGAGGCAAAAATATCCATCCATGAATGGAAGTCGTTAGTTAACAAATGATTAACTCTCCAAAATATGATACTTTTATCCTAAAACGAAATGTTACTAGGCAACATACTTAAAAAAAAATATCAAAATGATTATTTAATCAAACGTTATGAGCTAAGTCTAGTCATGTACTTTTAAGAATAGAATTGTAATTTTAAATTTTTATATTAAGTCAAGTTTAAAATGAAATCATAATAAGATATATAAAATAATGGGTTAAGATTAGAGTAATAAAAAATTAGGTTAAGATATAATCTATTATTATTTTGTTAATGATTTTTTAATACATTTTATTATCATATATGTGTAGAATTCATTTATTAACTGCATAAATTATACCAATAAATATTGATAATAATGATTAATTTTGCATTAAACAATCATAAATAAACTAATTTAATAAAACCAATAATAGTTCACCTATCTATGGTTAGGGTGAATAAAATTAGATTAGACTCGAAAATATTAATTTTTTTAACTTGATTTAACGTTAAAAAGTTTAAATTAATTTAATTTATAATTTCATAATCTTGAATCCACTCATAAAAATATCTAATAAAATTTGAGTTATAAAATAAAATTTAAATAATTAGAAATTTTAGATATTTAGTGGATTAATTTTTTAGTTCAAAATTGAGTTATAACTTTGTATGATATACCTATATCAAAAAAAAATTATGAATATATATATATATATATATATGTATATCGTTTAAATTTTAATCAATTAATACAATAAAACTATAAATATTTATAATTCAATTTAAAATTCATAAACTGGCCTCTAAAAAGTTTCAAATATAATTTATCCTATAAAATAAAACTCTTTAACTGAATTCAAAAAATAATTACTCGATCAAAAACTCATCATATCTATAATAGTAGAAGATGGAAATATTATTTTCTTTATTATTTTAATAATAGTAGAAATTAAAATCATTAAGATAGAATGTACACCCGACGCGCCATGATTGCAGGTACGAGTCGTCAGAAACTCGCCCCCAAGAAAACCTTCGAAACTCTTTTTGCGTCTTAAAAAAAAACCTTTGTTTTTTTAGTAAAAAGGGAGATAGGAGATCGAACGGTTACGATCTGCTTCCTTTGGGTTCACTTTAACTCCAACCTCTTTACGTCACTAGCCTTCGCTTTTTCCAATTATTCTTTTGTCGTTTACTTTGCTTTTTAACTTAACCCGGGACCCACCTCCCTCCCTAAAACCATCGATTATGGGGACCATTTCGTTTCCTTTTTTCTTTCTTTCTTTATTATCATTGATGATGCCATTGGTTTACCCTTTTATTATGAGTTTTTGATTTATTTAAATTTTATTTGGATATTTGTTTATTATTTGATTTGATATAAATTTAAAAAGAATTGATTTGATTTAGTTTTTAGGATAAATTTTTTTATCTAAATATAAATATATACTCGTTCTGTCTTAGAGTGAAATTCATGATTTAATAATTAAATTTATTTAGTCTATTAAATTACGAGTACTCGTGATAATCTTATGCCAAACACTGCCTACCAAAGCCGTTATAAACACACCTCAACTATGACTTATGGGGATTTCTCTCTCTTAAACTCTTCTATCCTTTATACACGACCTCTCTTCTCTTTTCTCCATCATAGAAACATCCGCTAACAGTCATCATTTTACGGTTGCAACTCTTCACTCAAATAAGGAGTGAATCGTCAAAGGTCGACGTAATTCCCTTGTTCACATAAATAATTGGTGCAATGAGCATAGAACACTCAATCAAAACAGAATAAGTCGCGATGAATCTTTCAAACCATTCACTCTTTAGACATATTTTTTCTAAATAGTTACAACAAGACTTTTCTGACCCAACAGACTATAAATCCGATTCGTTTTTTTATGATGTTTAAGATTACCCTTGCAAAAAAAATTCCCTAACCATAATACCACCTAAACTTTGATTCTAATGTGCAAAACTCAAATGTACAACCCTAACCTCAAACATCAAAAGATTCGATCAATAGGAGCAAAGTGCTCTTACCCTTAATATTCGAATCGTTGAGACACACATTTTAAGGTAGATTGAGAAGCATAAAATGAAAGTATTTGCGATGGGAACACTACATGCAAAAGGGAAAATGGTCAAAATGCAACAAGACTATTTTCATTTGAGCCATGCAATGTCTCCTCTTCCTCTTG